TTTCCCACTGAAAACTCCTCAACCATCTTTTCTTGGCTTGACAGGAGCCAAGTCTCAGACCACATTTGCTTGTTTGACTGTTGGCCTTCTGTAGCATCTATGGCAAAAGAAAGCTGTATGTAGTGGTAGGCTGCCTTGTCTTTGGGTATTCCTCTTGCCTCTGTGATTTGACTTAGTTGTTATGTGAAAGAGGTGTGGCCTTTTTCAACTGGTTAAGCATTGACTCATTTCAACTGGTTACCCATTGACTCATTTTGTCCCCACAACAGCCCTTGAGGTAGGCAAGACAGATTGCCTTTCCTCTTATTCAGGTGAAAGAACTCAAGGTTCAGAGAAGGCAAGTTCTAGACAAAAGATTTGAACTCAGGCCTTCTGGCTCAAAGTCCACTTCTGTTTCTGTAATATCTCATTTGGTAGCTGCCTAATTTTCCAGGGCTTGGGAGAATGCTGCTCCTCTTTATGCTACCAGAAGTGTGTCTTACCAGCCTCAAGATGCTAAACTTGTCTGCCTCATAGCATCTAGATTCTAAACTCCAATCTTCATTCATTGAAGGGGCTTGTAGTGTTTTGGAAGAAACAGACCTGTAAATAAGTAACGGCAGCTGTGTGAAAATTTTGCCATATTAGGGCTGGGAGTCACAATCCGGGCTGTCAGGAAGGGCGCTTGAATCAGGGGTAGGAATTGGCCAGATGGATCAGCAGGGGACCTAACTTATGTCAATAGAATGTAGAGAGGCAAGAGAGAGCATCTTCCCTTCCAGGGAGTTGTAAGTGGCCCGATGGGCTATAGCACAAGGTATGGGAGGGCTGTTGAAAATGAGGTGGAATGGTATTGTGCTTCTTCCTATAGGAACTATGTGTCTGTGGGTTATTGGGAACCATTGCAGGATTTTAAGCAGGGGGTAATGAAATCCCTGTCTGTGTTTGAGGGGATAGACTGAAGGAAGAGAGTTTGGAGGCCAGGAAACCCCAGAAAAACCTTGAGTTAAAAGGCTTATCCAGGGATAAAGTTCAGTTTCTTATGATCCCTTTGTGAACATATTGGTATTTCAGCTCATTCAACCAGCAGCTGTTTCTTTAGTGCCTACCCTTGTGATATATAGCCTTGTTCTTTGAACACCTGAAGGCTCACTGAATTTTAGTCATGGGTAGACCTTGTTCAGAGTGCTCTCTTATGAAATAGCTGTGACTGGCCTCTTTATTCTCTTTGTCCTCTGTGATCTTAGCACCACAAATACCTCTGAAGGTCCTATTCCTAGAGTGTTTGGGAGCACCTGGGTAGGACAGACCATACTTAGACAGCCCAGGGAGGACATAGTAAGTGGTGGAATGAAAATGATTCTGCCCAGGTTTTCCTTTGCTGGCTGTCATATCATGCTTGATCTGCTTCACATGCTGTGGTATGACCACTTAAAGAATCTGAGTACCCTTCAATGACAAAATTCCTGTGGTTCCTGGGGTTGCTAAGCCTCACAGAAGCTCTGGAACACCTGCTGTGCCCTGCCTTGCCTCTAGGGCCCAGAGAACCTAGCTACTGTCTTTATGCTGAGGACACAAAATTCATTGGCTGAAACCTGGGGCTGCTGAAGGAGTCGACATTGAAGTCATGCTGTTGAGTCCCTCCAGCCTCCTTTAAGCCTTGCTTGGTCCATCCAGGGGAGCTCTTTCCCTCTCAGGCTGAGCCCATATCCTTTTTTCAGATCTTACTGGCTTACTAGTATTCCACTGTCCAAACCAGCCAACCTGAGGGAGAAAGGATTGGCTGGCTTTACTCACTACCTTTTCTAGTTATTTCCTCAGTACAACTCCTCGCCCTCTCTGGACTGTTGAGCAATGTGTTCTTTTTTCTTTGCCTGCAGATGTCCCAGTTCATCGTCCAGTGCCTGAACCCTTACCGGAAACCTGACTGCAAAGTGGGAAGAATTACCACAACTGAAGACTTTAAACATCTGGCTCGCAAGGTACTCCCCTTGCTTTTGGTAGCCCACCAGGCAACGTTCTGGGCAAACTGTGTACTTTCTAAGAAGCCCTTTTCATCATAGAAAGTTTTTTTGTTTTTTTTTCTTGTCAGATGTCAGGGCTGGGGACCCAGGAACGGGGAGGGAAGGTTTGGGGAGGGATGCACACCCTTACATGAGAGCAGTAGTTCTCTAAGAAATTTTCAGAGCTCAGCTTATCCTTTCTGGTGATCCTAGCACCAGTCTGCCCCAACATCTACCCCCTTATTAACTTCCTGTCTTGGTGAGAAGGGCCCTGAAGCAGCAGGCTGGATTACCACCCCTGTCCTCCCCCTCAAATCGTTTCTGCTCTGATTGGTGGCTGTGGTCTCTCTTCCTGTGCCCTGGACAGCTGACTCATGGTGTTATGAATAAGGAGCTGAAGTACTGTAAGAATCCTGAGGACCTGGAGTGCAATGAGAATGTGAAACACAAAACCAAGGAGTACATTAAGAAGTACATGCAAAAGTTTGGGGCTGTTTACAAACCCAAAGAGGACACTGAGTTAGAGTGACTGTTGGGCCAGGGTGGGAGGATGGGTGGTCAGGTAAGACAGACTCTAGGGAGAGGAAATCCTGTGGGCCTTTCTGTCCCACCCCTGTCAGCACTGTGCTACTGATGACACATCACCCTGGGGAATTCAACCCTGAAGATGTCAACCGAAGGCCACAAAAATGAACTCCATCTACAAGTGATTACCCAGTTGTGAGCTGTTGGCATGTGGTTAGAAGCCATCAGAGGTGCAAGGGCTTAGAAAAGACCCTGGCCAGACCTGACTCCACTCTTAAACCTGGGTCTCCTCCTTGGCGGTGCTGTCAGCGCACAGACCCATGCGCATCCCCACCCACAACCCTTTACCCTGATGATCTGTATTATATTTTAATGTATATGTGAATATATTGAAAATAATTTGTTTTTTCCTGGTTTTTGTTTGGTTTTCGTTTTGCTTTTAGCCTCTACATGCTAGGATCACAGGAAGACTTTGTAAGGACAGTTTAAGTTCTCCTGCAAGGTTTAATTTGTTATCATGTAAATATTCCAAAGCAGGCTGCCTTGTGGTTTTGGCCAGCCTTGTGCTATGTTGATAAGATTGATTTACTGCTTAAAATCACTTTACTTTATCCAATTTTTACTGAACTTTTTATGTAAAAAAATAAAATCAATTAAAGAAATTGGCATGTGTGTTCCCTAAAAGTTAATCGAGCATATTTGTGTGTAATGATATCACTGGAAAAAGGAGAGATAGTGGCCTTAGATGTGTGAAGTCCAAGGTTAATCCCTGTGATTGTATTTTATTACAGGACTTGTTCATTCTCCACAGGTCCTACTCTGACTTAGGCAGACGTTTGCCAGGTGACTGGCACTTGTAGGCTTGGGATCTTATGACTGTGCTCAGGCATTGGGTCAATTTGCACATGCATTCCAGAGCAAAAGCAGCAGCATCTAGGGCATCTTTGGCACTAGGCTTCTTTATTTTGGTTAATCATCAGTCAAGAGAAAGGCAAATTTATCGTCTCCCTTGATACTTTCTCCTGGGTGGAGAGAAGCATTGAATCTTTTCCCCCCATGGACTTGATTTTTCTGAGCCCACTGGAATGCTTTTTTTTGGGGCAGAGACAGGGTCTCGCTCTGTTGCCCAGGCTGGAGTGTAGTGGTGTGATCATAGCTCATTGCATCCCTGAACTCTTGGGCCCAAGCAATCTTCTTGCCTCAGCCTCTGGAGTAGCTAGGACTACTAGCTAATATTTTTTAAAAATTTTTGTAGAGACGCAGGGTCTTGCTGTGTTACCCAAGCTGGTCTTGACTTCCTGGCCTCAAGTAATGCTCCTGCTTTTGAATCCCAAAGTGTTGGACACATGGTTTGAAATGCTCATTTGATGTTTGGGTTCCCTAGCTTCCAACTGTGCTTCCTAACACTTGGGTTGGACACTAGAGGACAGAATAGGACCCCTATAAAAGAGGTATAGTACACAGGTTATGATGATAGTGAACATTTCCAGGAAGATGCAGGGCTTCGTGAGAGGCCTCTCTCCTACTTGCTGGATCAGTTATCTAGGCAGTGAGAAAGACAGGGGGCTTCAGGACAGACTGGGGCCCATCTTTGCAAAAAGGTTGGTCCTGCCTGTTTCTCACCAGGGTTATTCTGCCCACTGCAGCAGTGTTCTTGAGGTCAGGTCAGGTTGTGGCCTGCCAAATCTTTGGCAGGGTGAGTAGCAATTAGAGCAGTCATTGCCTGCTAGGCACTGTGCTGAGCACTTAGAGCTCAGGTTGTGGTCACAGTCCTGAGGCACAGGAATTGGCACTATGATGAGGAAAACTAAGGGTCAGAGAGGTTTAGTAACTCTTTTAATATCCTTGTATTAAAGGAAGTGTTAGAAGAGGGGAAAATCCTTATTTTAAACTTAGACATGCTATTGTTTTCTCATGATACTGCAGCCTTCAAAACTGTTTTAAGCCCTTGTTTTTTTTTTTTTTTTTTTTGAGACAGAGTCTCGCTCTGCCGCCCAGGCTGGAGTGCAGTGACCGGATCTCAGCTCACTGCAAGCTCCGCCTCCCGGGTTCACGCCATTCTCCTGCCTCAGCCTCCCGAGTAGCTGGGACTACAGGCGCCTGCCACCTCGCCCGGCTAGTTTTTTGTATTTTTTAGTAGAGACGGGGTTTCACCGGGTTAGCCAGGATGGTCTCGATCTCCTGACCTTGTGATCTGCCCGTCTCGGCCTCCCAAAGTGCTGGGATTACAGGTTTGAGCCACCGCGCCCGGCTTTTTTTTTTTTTTTTTTTTTTTTTGAGACAGAGTCTCGCTCTGCCGCCCAGGCTGGAGTGCAGTGACCGGATCTCAGCTCACTGCAAGCTCCGCCTCCCGGGTTCACGCCATTCTCCTGCCTCAGCCTCCCTAGTAGCTGGGATTACAGGCATGCACTACCATGCCCAGCTAATTTTGTATTTTTAGTAGAGACGGGGTTTCTCCATGTTGGTCAGGCTAGTCTCGAACTCCTGACCTCAGGTGATCCACTCCCCTTGGCCTTCCAAAGTGCTGGGATTACAGGCACGAGCCACTGTGCCCGGGCTAAAGCATATTATTATATCACATGCAGAGATTGTAATTTGCTCAACCCTCCTAACGTCTTGGAATTATGTCTGTTACAGAGAATAGTTTAGTTAATGTGCTTAAGCACATTGAAAGGGGGCATTTCTCTTTTCAGTGGGTTTGCAGTGCAGGGGTATAACCACATGCACTGCTGCTTGCAACCAAATCAAATGCATGGTTTTGACCCAAAGCTCCAGCTTATGATGTCTCCAACAGCTGGTGCGTATCTTCCCTGCTTCCTCTCCTGGTTCTTCAGGGTTATTGCCCTAAGGTCATCTGTGGAGGAAGGTGGCTATAAACTTCCGGTTCTTCCTTAGTTTAAGGGTAAGATTTACGGAGTGTTAAGCAGCCCTGGTCAACTATTTCTGAGGGTAGCAGTAGCAGCAGTCTGATGAGCTTGGTACTCACAGAGTAGTCAATCTCAGTTGCATCTCGTGTCAGCAGAGGGACAGGATCTACCTTGGACCCCACTAGACCATGACTGGAACCCATGTCTTCTGAGTTTGGACGGCTGTGCCTCTGAAGCCTACTTATGCTGATAGATGCCAGGAGAGTAGGCATTGTTTCTTCCTAGGCAGGGCTTGTCTTTTATAGCACCTTCTTCAAAAGGCACTTACTGTGCCAACCTACCTGCCTCTACCCTTTGGGGTGGGCATATGCATGGAGTGCATATGCATGGACTTGGCTGCACCTGCCTTGTCCTGAGCTGCCCAGGAGACCCACCTGTTCTTGGTGTGTGCAGCAACCACATGAGCAGATGTGGAAGTACATTTGGAATGCCTTGTCCTGAGTTCAGGTCTTGTAAAGAGTGTTTTCTTTTTTCTTATCTAGAGGTGACCTGAGGCCCTTGGTAATTAACTGCCCAGGACCAGCCTGTTTCTTGCCTCCTGTCTAGAGGAACAGGCCTCCAGCCTCCCCTTGGTGCTGCTCACAGAACAAGTCAGGAAAATGATCTCAAACCCGGGGTCCCTCAGCACCAACCTGGGAGTCTTAGGTGTGGGGGAAACTACTGAAAGTGTCACCTAAACTTACTGTTCTCCAGCTAAGGAAGTTGATAAAATACCAAGGTAAAATAATCAGCAAGGTAAAAAAGCTTCCAAACAGGATAAAGCCAGCAAATGGTAGGCACAGGATATGAACTCTGATCTGTGCCTCCAGAGCCCATGCATCTTCTATAGGATCACAGTCCCTGCCATCCCAGGTGCTGCTTGGAGAGGGCCCTCCCACAGCCTAGGGACCCCCAGCCCTTTTCTGGGCCTCCCTCATAGCCACCCACCCAGCTGTCTCACAGGCCCAAGGAGCCAAATAGAGCCAGCGGAAAAGTCCGAACCACCTTTAATACGGGTTACAAAAGTAGCAAAACCAGCTGAGGCTTAAGAGGAGGTGGAGTAGGGATCCAAAGGGCAGGACCACTCCTCACTGCCTACTTCCCTACCATATCCTGGGGCCTCTTCTGGAGGGGATGGGTGGGTGAGGGGAAGTGAATGGTGGCTGGATCTTCGGTTTTCTTCTCCAGAACAGAGCAGGCTGAGCCCAGCAACCCCAGGAAGCCCATGAAGGGAAAGATACATGAGATGGGGGTACGGGAGCACCAGAGCAGGCTCCGAGGAGCCAGGCTATGGAGGCAGCACTCATGCCACAGAGCAGCCCTCAGCTTGGGGGCCCAGGACCTGGACCACATCTTCCTGGCCCAGGGCATTCTCTAGCACCTTGTGGGTGGCGCCACTGCCTTCTTGGATAGCCCAGTCCCTCAGCAGTGTGTAGGCTCGCACCTGGCCTTGGGCCATGATTTCTACAGCCTCAGCCTGGTAGCCCAGATGGTCTGCCAGTCCCCGCCAGCCTTTGTCAGTTTCAACTGACACCTCTAGCAGCCGCTCCACTTTCTCCTGGTGCTGCTGAGGGAGATCAAGGTAAAGTTAGCACCTAAGCTCAGGATGTGGTCCTGAGGCAGGAGATATGAGGACCACACAAGGGCTGGATGGTGAGGCAGTTCTGGGAAAGGGGCTCACCCTGGTTGGAGGCACAGGGCTCCAGACTGCTAGGAGAGTCCAGGAAGACACTGCTATCCCCATGCATCTGGTCCTTGTTGAGACCTCCCAGCTCTGCAGTTTGAGCTTTGGCCAGCTGCTGTCTTTGTCTATGTGAGCGCCAGCTGTGGGGAGAAAGGGAGACCTACCGACCTGTCCCCACCTTCAAGACAGGGAATTGGTTGGGAGTCCAGACAGGGAAGGGGGTGCCACAAGGCAGTGCCCAGACCACCTACCACTTGAAGGCCACATAGGCAAGCAGACCGAGGACCACAGTGGCCAGGAGGGTACAGTAGACTGGGATGATGCTGCCTGAGACACTGGAGGCTCCAGGAGGAAAGGGGAAGTATTGGGGTACAGGGCTCCCCCTGCCCCTACCCATACTCCTTCCCTGTCCCTCTCCTGCCTCCTCAGGATCTTACCTGTGGAAGAAAAGACAGATCAGGTCAGGAGCAAGGAACCAAGGCTAGGGTCCCTAGGTAGCCTCACCTAAACTTTGTTGCCGAAAAGGTTTGAAGCCAGTGGTCCCTACTATGTAGAGTCAAAAGCTTATACCACAGCATCAGGAGCTGTCTGGCCTATTTTTCCATTTTCATCTACTTCCCCTTTGCTTACCACTCTGGACACCTTGTCCTTCCTACCCTGTTCTCATAACCTTCCAGACTTCTGCTCTTGCCAATCTCCGTTCTCCATCTGGCATATTGGCAAAAATCTTCTACTCTGGGAAGACTTCCTCGATCTCTTCCTTTTGGGGGTCCATTTGCACTCCTGTCTACCACAGCACTAAATCCATTTTTATCCAATTATCCAGGGCACAGGAAGAAAGACCATGGCACTGTCTACCATGGCACTTGTGTCCTGTCTCTGCCACTAAGTCTGGACTGTGAGGGCACATTGATTCATGTGGTCCCCATAAGCATCTCTGTGCAAAGGAGGCCTTGTAAATTTTTGCAAAATAAAGCTGAACTGGAAAGGAAGTGTTGTTGCTTTCTTCTGCCTGGAAGCGACTTGTCCTCCCGATCTAGTGCAGTCAGGGTACACAGGATTTGAGAGACTCCAGAACCTGTGGCTGGACTTGGGTGTGACCTACCCACTTGGGGTACCTCTCAGCCTGCCTGGTGCCCATGATCTGAATCAAGGGATGCTTACCCACATAGGCCAGGCCTTTGCTGTGGCTAGAGTTGTGAAGCATGGCTGTTAGTGGGTAATGCTCCCTGGGGCTGTTTCTTGGAGAAGAGGTTAGAGAGTTTTAGGCAGCCCCCAGGCAGGGGAGCTGGGAGCTGCTTCTCTCGGTCCAAAAAGGGCTGTGTGCAGGAGGAATATGGGGGAAATCTCCAGGCCTGACGTTGGCAGTCCCTTGGGGTAGTCTGTCCCCCTTTTCTCACTTCAACCTGATTCACTCTAGCGCTGGACCAGTTTCCTCCTGTGTCAGATGGGGTGGAGGTGACAGAGGTGGTCCCAGCTGGCCAAAGTTAGAAGTGTCAGGTACAATTCAGGATGGAAAACAGGTTGGAAACCACTGTCTCAAAGATGTTGCGAAACACTTGGTCTGAGTCCAGGGATGGTAGGGAGGATAGGGGAGACATGCCTTCTAGCTCCATCTTAGCCAGAACCAGGCTGGAGAGACGTACTGGCCAGTGGGAGGCTCACTGCCAGGCTTTTCAGCTATAGCTCAGGAACCCAACATCCTGAAGCCCCAAGGCAGGAGGACTTTCTGCAGTGACCATGCTCGTAGTCCTTCCTCAAGGGTCAGTGTCCAGCCCTCTCCTGATCAGGAACTGGGTGGAATGCTACCTTGGTGGGTTCAGCAAGGGAATGGAGGATACGGGCCCAGAGATCCCCTAGTTGATCCTGCTTCATCCAGAAATTCAGAGAGGGCCTGAGACTCAAAGGATAGGACTACTCAGTCCTACCTGGATCCTATAGGGCTGAATCTGATGGGACCCACTTCCTGAGGTTTGAGGAAGAGAAGCTCCTTGTCTAGACTAAGGAGAGCTTGCCTGGAGACAAGGAATGGAGGAGACACCCGGGAAGGCCCTCCAACTCCCCAGTATCCACCACCACATATTGGGTACCAGTCTATCCCACACCATGTCCCCATGTGTATGGCTAAGTCAGCAACACAGTGCTGTGGCCAAGTGTGTGCGACCTGGTGGCCCTTGCCACATGTGGGGTGTGTACATTTGTGTCACTTACATTAAGGGACCCTGCAAGATCCTGGATGGTCGATGGGCTTGTGACCAGGACGCAGCAGCAGACAGGCCTGGCTTCCGCCCAGCCCACTCTGAGCAGCGGGGACGGAACCCGTCCCACCTCCCATCCGTCTCCAGGCCCACGAATACGCACACACAATGCAACCACCCTGCACACCCACACCACCCTGATTTCTCATGCACACGCCGACACCAGCACACACAACACCTGCAGGATCACGAGTCTGGAGATGGGGGACAGAGAGGCAGCCCCCGGCTCCCTCCACTCAGCAAGGGCTCTGCCCCTAACTCCTCCTGACCGGTGGCCGCCAGGATGGATCCACTCAGCAGGGCACGACCGAGCCCTCCGAGAAGACAACGTGGAGTCTCTGGGGTGGTTCTGGCCCCCAACCCCAACCTCGCGACCACAGCAGCGCCACAGGGCGGCCCAAGAAGTAGGCAAGACAATGAGGGGGCAGGGCCAAGCTGGAGGGGCGCGGCCTCAGGTGTTGTCGCCCCCGCCCGGCGAAGGAATGCAAACGCGCTTGCGGGACGCCTGGCCGGGTTGCGGTCTTGGACGAATGGCGTGCGAGGGCGACCGGATGAAGAGATGAAATCTTGGGGAAACCACGAGCCGGGGCGAGATGTGGGGCAGGGGCTGCACGGCCGGGGAAACTGAGGCCCCAGTTCAGCGACGGCCACGCGGAGGGGGGCGAGTGAGCCCAGAGGGGGTCACGGGCCAAGGGAACGCGAGCCAGGCCAGACTGAGACCGCGACCCTGGGACCGTGGCTACGGCAGTCCGAGACGCCGCGCGCGCACGCACAGTCGGAGACAGAGCAGCTACAAAACTAGGCCAGGTTTATTGCCGATAAGGGAGAACCGGGGCCGCCGTTAGGAATTAAGGCCACAGGCGGCCCTCGTGCTCTGACGAAACGGGGACTTGGAAGCCGGGGAACCCCGCCCCAGACTGTGCAAAAAGTGCTGCTACGGCCGCAGACGCCAGCGCTGACTCTCAGGGCCGCCCCTCAGCCGGCGAGGGGCAGGACTTCCGCCCGCCAATCCCTGAGGGAGTAACATCGCCCGCCAATCCCTGAGCTGGGCAGGGTGGGGCCCCGCCCACCCCCTGGGTGGCCCACCCCGGGGTGTTCCCGTCGACTTCTGGGCGGGGCCTTCCGGGCCAAGCCCGTCGGGGGCGGGGCCCGAGCAGCCGGACTGGCCAGGTTCAGCGCGCCTCAGCAGGGTTGTATTCCGTCTCTCCCGAGGACACCTGGGAGATCCGCCGCGAGGACCGCCACAGCTTCCGCGCGAACTGGCTGCTGCGCACCTGGTGGGCGTAAGGGTTGAGTAGGGTCAGCTGGGACCGCCGCGCTGCGCCCCGCCCCGTTCGAGGGGCCTCCCCACCCTCGCCCCATCCTCACCTCAGAAGGCTGCCCGGCGCCCACCACGATGAGCTTGCCGTCCTCCAGGCCCACCAGCACGTGGCTGCGCTCCTTGGTCACGGCCACGCTGCGGATGGCCACCTTCATGGGCAGGGGAGGCGCAGCCGGGAGCAGTCTGGAAGGGAGAGGGGATATACACCAGCTTGCGACTGCAAGGGGGCTTTGCGACCAGCAGATATCCCTTATCCCATATACCCTCTCTGTCCTTATTTTAAGGATGGCTAAATTGAAACTTTTATACAAAAAGAAATCTCCCACAACTGTGGCTAAGCCGAGGCCCAGGGCAAGACCTCCCTATGGGAAGATGAGGGGACAGGTAACAAACCTTGAAATATGTGCCCACAAACATGTATGCTGTGTGGATTCCTAGGGGGAATCCCCTCCGCTTTATTCTACACCAATGACCACAACCTTCAGGGGCCATGAACTCATAAATGGTGGGGGGGGGGGCTTACGTGTTTAGTTGGAGGATGTGCAGGGCGCACTGGGCGGTGCCCAGCAACACAAAGTCCTCTGTCACCGTCAGGGCTGTAGGCTGCTCTGCCAGGGGCAGTGAAGCCCGCAACTTCCCATTGACCGAATACAGGTGCAAGGAGTAGGTGACCTGGAGGAAGCAGGGAGTGTCAGCAAGGACAGGATCCCAACTGCCCCTCCATCTTTGCTGGGTACCCCTTCCCCATACCTGGGCCCCAGGACGTTCCCACGCTGAGCTCTGTACCACAATCTGGCCTTCGGACCCCAATGCCAGGTGGAAAATAGGTCCAGGCACTGAGGCACTCGGAGGCTGTAGTGCTGCCACAAACTGGCCACGGCGTACAGTGTGTATGATCACAGTTCCATCCTGCAGGAAGGCAACTTAGGGTCCTGGGCAGGAATCTGGGCTCCAGGGGGATTGCCCAGCAAACTCACCCTCCCCAGGGCACATGCATACACACACCTCAGATCCAGACACAGCCATGTCAAGTTCAGTGTTGATGGCCACACAGCTCACTGCAGCCCCATGCCCATACAGGACCTGCACAGGCTTTGGTGCCAGGCCTACTGACAGACCACCCTGTGGATGACCAGGGTTGACTTAGGACTGGCCCCTGAGGCTCAGGAAACGAAGGCCTTGTCCAAGACTAGAGAGCTGGAGGGTCATGGAACCCCAGACTTGCTCATGGTAGCAAAGGGAAGGGAAAGACAGGAGGGCAGGACCGGAAGGCCACCGAGGGATGGATGGGCTGTAGGTCTGGGCTATGGGGACCCCACAGAGCTGCCCATCAGGCACACCTGATGCAGGAGCCGCCACACCATGCATGTGGTGTCCCGGGAGCCTGAGATGAGGTAGATGCCACAGGTGTCCAGTGCAAGGCAGGTTACTACATCTGCACGGGAAGGGGAGGGTACAGGCAAAATGGAGGAATCACATCCGCCCCGGCCAGCCTCAGAACCCGGTCCCATACCTGCGTGCCTCCAAGGCTGTTCATACCAAGGTGGCGGCTGAGCTGGCTCAACAGCTTGCCACGGGATAGTGCAGTCACTCGCAGGCTGCCATCCCAGTGGCCACCGCTGAATAGCAGCTTTCCGTCAGGGGCCACTGCCAGTGCTTGTCCGCTCACACCACTGTCTGGCACCCATGGGCCACTCAGCAGTCGCTGCGTCCTAACCCAGTGAGGGGGATGGCAAGTGAGGCCAGGCCACATGGAAGAGACCCAGGCCCTCAGGGAGCCTGGTCAGACCTTTCCCCTGCAGCTGGCCTACATTCTGATTAGGGAGAGGAATAATTCAGGGTGCAGAGCATTTGTAGCCCACCCCACCCACAGCCCTCTGTCCTACTTGTGGCTGCCCATGGTGGGGTCTTTGCTGAAGCTGAAGTAGTTGCTTATGTTGCGGTCATAGGGCAACCAGCTGTGGGTACCCAGCAGCCCACTGGCACTCACGGTCACCTGAAGGCAGGAGGGGGCAGAGATGGGTTTGTGGCAGAGGCAGAGGGGTAGTGGAGCTGAGCTAGGGCTCTGCACAATGCACTTACCAACAGGTCTGGGGAACCCTGGGTGATGAAGGAGTGGGGCTGCCGGTGGGGGACCAGAGCTAGCACCAGGGGTACACCATCACTGACGACCTGCAGGGACAAGGGCAGGCCTAGCTATGCCTGAGTACTATCAGATTACACTATCTTCTCCCTGAAGCATCATCCCTTCCTTTACCCTCAGTCCCCAGGGGTCACGGAGTAGGTATCACAGATGCAGAGGTCCCTCCAAGCAACAGGCAGAGACTTTAGGAGGGCATCTCAGAAAGTGGGTGAGAAGCTGGGACAGACATGGAAGATGCTTCCAGAGTATCACGCTTAGTTTCAACCTTGGTCCTCCCACCCTGTTATTCCTTGTCCTCCTAGCCCAAAGGCAGGAAGAGAGGGAAACCTAAAAAAAAGTCAGGCCTGGGGGCAACATTCAGGAATGTTCCTGCCTAGGAAGGCGATGGAAGGGGTCCAAGGACAGATCTCCTCCCTCCTGATCTCCCTAAGGCTTTCAGAGCTTGTTAGGTGAGTCAACACTTTATCCTGGCCCTGATGAGGAGGGCACCCCTCCTGCCCCCATACTCTTCCCATGTTTAGCTCATTTTCTAAGGTGCTTTGAAATCAGTGACCTTGATTAGGGTTCCCATCTGCCCCAAGTGGTTGGTAAGGACAGTGGGGTTAAACCCGTTTCACATAATATAAAGTTGAGGTCCTGTCTTCCTCTCACCTCTGCAAAGAATGCCTTGAGTTGGTCCAGGTGCTGGAAGATGCTAGGTGAGTTAGTGTCCAGGCGTGCAAGGCGATGGGCTGCTTCCTCAGCTGAGAGCCGAGTTGGATGTGGCTCCTGTGGGCAAGTGGCTGGTCAGCACCATGGCGTGGGCATCCCTGGCCACTATCCTCTAAGCTGGCTTTACCTTCAGCAGCTGACAGGGAGTCTGCCCAAAGTTGCTGATAATACCCTCCAGAGCCTTCCGTTCCCGCTCATCTGTCACATGGTCCAGGTCTACAGCCCCTGGGAAGGTAGGCAGAGCAGTCAGGGCTCCCCACGTGCCCTCTGCATCCACCCCTCCTGATTTTGTCCTGGCCCCAACTAGAGTCCAGCACACTGCCCACCCTCATAGGTGCAGTAATAGAAGACATTGAGGGCCTCCTCGGCAGCTGGCCCCCGCTGCTTGTAGCCAAAGATGAGGTCGATCCACTCGTGCAGGTGGGCAGACACATACTCCGACTCCTGGGAGTAGGGAGGCAGCAATCAGTGCAGGGACGGCTGACCCCCCATGACCTTCAGAACCCCGGCTGCCTGCCATTTGCCTGTGGTTGCTTCCTCACCAGAGCCTGGCGGTGCTGCTGGATGAAGTCCTCAGGAGAGCTGGCCCACGGGGGCAGCACTACATCGCCCACCTTCTCGTTGGTCAGCTGGAGACAGCCCAGGTCAAAACCTGGCACAAAGGACTGCGTCAGCTGTCTCCCTGTCCATCCCAACTGCCCCCTGGCCACTCCACCATCTGCTCTCCATCCCCACACCTGCCCGCTCCAGTGCCAGCACCTCACACCTACCGTTCTGGTTCTCCAGGAAGTCAGGAAAGTAGAAGAATTCTGGGATGAGCTCCTTCACATCGGCGGGGCTCTCCAGGCGTGCCTGCCAGGCTGCTGCCACTGAGTGGAACTGCCGGTCGGAGCAGTCAAAGCTGGGGGAGGGGCATGGGGCCAAGGTGAGGTGGGGAGAATGGGAACAGGGAGGGAGATGCTGTGGCTGGAGGGAAGAAGGGAGCCAAGGGTGGGCCCAGGATGTGGGGAGGACCAGCCTCCTCCCCTTGTCTGCCCTCCAGTCTGCCCACCAGCCCCTGGGCTGTACCGGCCACTCTGCAGCTGGACGTGCAGGGAGGTGAAGGGCTCCACGCGGATAAGGTAGTGCATCACGCCTGCTGCATTGGAGTAGTGGGTGCCATAGTGGAACTTGTCAATGGTCCCCGCTGGGTCCTCAAAGCTTTCATACCTGGGGCCACATTTGGACATGTCAGCAGAAGCCCTCCCCTCACCTTTCCCTACCCGCTAAGCCCAGCCCTGCCCGCATGCTCACTTCTCCCTCACGAGCTGGGCATGCTTGGGGTTCACCACACCGATGGGCTTAGACAGGTCCCGGAAGACGGCTGGGTTGCTGAGGTCCAGGGTTGGGGACACGTAGTCCTGCAGGACCCAGGGGAACTGGCCGCCCACCCAAGCAGGGGCTGCATGAGGGCCCTGATGGCCTACCAGCCCACCCTGCCCTGCCCTCACCCTCACCTTCAAGAAGGTGGGTACAGAACCTGCCCACAGGTTGGGGGAGCACCACTTAGAGGGGTCACAGGGGAGCAAGACAGACTGTCCTGGAACAGGATTCCTTTTGAGGAATAGAGGCTAGGTGGGGAGGGGGAAGGTAGTGAGGCTGGGGACCTCTGGGGGTTGGCAGGGAACAGAGGCCAGCTCTTCATTGGCACACCTACCCAGGACCAAGCTCAGGGCTTGGCCCACTGGCAGGTACCTACACTTGGGGGAACCAAGGGCTGATAGGTCAGAGGGGCAGGGGTGGAGGGGTACAGAGTGAGGCCCTCACCACAGGGTACTGAGACAGGTCATTGTAGGTCCGCCCCGCAATGGTGTTGAGTTGCATCAAGTACTCGAAGTTGGATATCTCACGCTGTACCCATTTCTGGGGACAGGGGCAATCAAGATGTGAGCCAGGTGGGCTGTCCAGCACTGCCCCCTGATTCAGGGTCCCAACTTCACATCCCTCACACTCCGGGCTCTCACCTGTGTAAGGCCTGAGGCACGCAGCATCTCCTGGGGGGAGCGGCTGCTTAGGTAGCCTTGAGAGGGAGGCCGTAGGCGCAAGAGCCACGAGTACACCTGGTTCCGTACCTGGGTGTGGGGTGGGATGGGGCCAGGCTGGGGCCTGGGAGTCTGGCTAGGAGATGAGGCTGGGGTCGTGCCCACCTTGCATGGGAAGTTGAGGAAGTAGTTGGCCTGATCGATAAAGAAGAGCTCAAGTGCTGAACGGCGCAGGTTGAAACGCCGCAGGTGGACCTCACGCAGCTGGGCCAGTGGGCGCCGGAAATCATAGCCAATGCCTATGGGGAGGAACAGCAGGTACAGGAGTCACTCACCTCAGGCCCACCCAGACCTCAGCCATTCCCTGCCATCTTCCCAACCCACACCACCAGGACGCACCCTCCTCAGTTTCGACACGCTCAGTGCTGCCATCGTAGAAGTACACATTCTGTGTGGTGACCTCCAGCAGCCCTGGGACCACGGCCACTACCGTCACCAGCTGGCACTCAGCCGACAGCACCAACTTCTCACGCTGCTCATCCAGTTCTGCTGCCTCCATCCTAAAGACCAGCAACTCACCTCAGGCTCTAGGCTCTGGGACCCCCTTCTTCACAAGCCCAAAGGGCATCCAAGTGCCATTGAGTCATGGGGTATATACTCTCATGACTCCCAGAGATGGGGAGGGGCTGTCTAGGGTCCAGAACCTACTGGTCCCAGCCCCTGTCCCCAGCCTGCCACCCACTAGGCTTCTGAATATTTTGCCAGGATGCCAACCCTTGTCCCCTGCTCCCCTCACCCAGCCCCTGCCCACTCCCTGGGCCCCCTTCCCGCTCTGGTTTGTTTCTCAGTGCTGTCCTCGGGTGCCTGGCTGTTAAAAGAGCAACTCAGCCCTGTTAGGAGACTTTCCCACCCCCCATCTGGCTTTGGACAGTCCCTTCAGGGGGATGTAGTCAGGCAGCAGAAGAGGGAGTTGATCCCACAGAGGCATGCACACACTGGAGCAGACCCCTTGCCCACCACCCCAGTCTGATCTCTCCAGGGCCTCACTCACGGGGTCTCCAGCTCAGCCAGCTCATCTTCGCCGAGCTGGTCCTCCTGCAGCTCCTCGGGTGGGGTGCTCACTTTGGCCTCTTTGGTCACTGCCAGAGGCAGTGAGGCCTCCTCGGTGGGTGTCAGGGGAACCTCACCTGCAAGGGGCCAAGGGTACTCAGATGAAGCAAGGCAGGATGGGACACGGGACAATTGAGTTGGGCGGACCCAGCTCAGCATACTCCCTCACCCAGATTGTCACGGAGGGCACTGGCTTCCAGGTGAGGGTCGAAGTGATGGTTGGGCACCAGCTTCAGACGCATGCGTGAGTATGTCTCAGCGCTGGACAGTTTCCAGCGGAGGGTGGGAGGGTCCCTGCAGAATGTCCCCCAGGTCATGGGTCGGTAGAAGGCTGTAGACACCCCCATCCCTCACCCCAAAGGCAGTCTGGGGTTCCAGGTGACCCCCTCCCTCCCAAGCCCCACCCCTCCACAGTGACGCTGCCTCAAGCCTGGCTCACCTCAGCGCCCATGCCCCACATGGGCTGGCGAGCTGGCGCCACAGCGTGCCCCAGTGCAGCAGGGCTGTGGAGTGCTGCGCTGCCTGCTGCTTCAGCGCTGCCGTGTAGCGCAGCCCCTCCAGGCGCGCCCGCCTCTGCGCAGGTTCCAGCACCAGCTCCTGGGGTGGGGGAAATAGGTCAGTCCCCTGGCTGCTGCCTGTCCTACCCCTATTTCTCCACCTTGTGAGACATCTCCTGGGCGCATGTGTGGATCAGTTTCCCATCCCCACCCCTGTGGCACACCTGGAAGGCCCGACGACTCTGGGCACGCTCCCGCTGGCGCCGCTGCCCACTGCTCATGAGCATGTCATAGCAGGCATTCCAGAAACCTGACATAAGGTCGTGGCTCTTAGCATACGTGTCCATTTCGAACTGGGACATGGTTGGCTGCACCTGGAGGATTGGTCAGAGGAGAACAGTGCTCGATGTGGGCCCCAGTCCCCACTCCTCTTCCTGGGCCCCACCTCCAGGCACCTGTTTGTCGATGAAGTGGCGCCATTCGGGTGTGGCACAAAAAGCCTGGAAGTCTTCAAAGAAGGTGGGGCTGCCATTGGTGGGTGGCAGGGAGGGTAGTCCCCACTGCAGCCCCAGCGGCTCATAGGCACGGTCTAGCAGCGTGCGTACCAGCGGCACCAGCCAGGAGCAGCGCTCTGCGGCTGCTGTGGCTGCAGGTGGGGGCCCTGTCTTATCAGTGGCTGACTCGGAGGAAGAGGTGTTCAGCGCCCGCCCCAGTGCAGCCTCCAGCTTGGAGAGCACATAGCAGGCTTCCTCGCGGCGGGCTGGCACTGCAGTCTGTAGCAGCATGTGCAATCTCACATAGGCCTGGGCATGCAGCTGTGGGTGCAAGAGAGATGAGTGGCACCCAGCCACTCTTGGAGCTCCCCACACCTCCCATGCCCCCTGCCCCCATGCTCACCCTGTGCTCACCTGTGGGTCTTCCAGCAGGATGTAGCCAAGCACAAGCTGCAGGCCAATCTGTGCCATCTCACGGAGATCAGCTGTGCCGTTGGCCAGGTGGGGCCAGGCTCCCAGGCGATCAAGTAGGCTGCATACACCTTCAAAGAGCTGCCACAGACAACGGGTTCCCAACAGACATCACCAGGGGAGGCCAGGAGTCCATGGAAAGAGAGCAAAGTAAAGTTTGCGCTGGGGGCCAGGTAGGGTTTGTGCACACAGGCAAGTCCACGCTCACAGGCATTCATGCTGATGTACCCACAACTGCGCACGTGTACCCATCCACCTCCCAGACCAGATCCCTGCAGCCTTGCGTGAACCTGAGTGTTCATGTGGCTCACGCCTCTCTGAGGGGCCGCACCTTCTCACTCCACAGTTCCTGGTTACCATGGCCTTCAGCACACAGGAAGTCCTGCAGCAGACGCAGCAGCCAAAGCACCTGCTGGGTGAGGCTGGCCAGGACCCCCACGGGGGCTTCCTTGATGTCGGTCAGGGCTGACTCCAGCATCATCTCCAGGAGGCTGGTGGGTGAGTGGGGAACTCAAGGGTCTACCTGACTGTCTTCTTTCCTTCCCCCGAGGCTCCCTGAAGCCCCTCCCGCTCCAGACTTGCCCTCTCACCTGCGCTTGATGCAGTCTGGTGGGCGCACAAGTGTGGCTGAGGCCCCCAGCTGGGTGAGCACCGAGAAAACCTGGCCACGCTCCCGCCAGGCAGCCTCATCGCTACCTTCCACACCACGCCACGTCACCGAGAACAGCACGTTGGTGAGCAGATTGCACAACTCTTCCTCAGAGGTTTGCTGTGGGCACAGGTGGGTGATGTGGGCATGGGTTGTGGGCCGCAGAGGGAATCAGGCTGATGCCCATCCATCCCCAGTCAGCATCCCTCCTGGGGTAGCCACCCAGGAGGCAGAGCATTTGGCTAACAGTGAGCCTGGCACTAAGGGCCTGGAAGAACAGTTTAGGGGTCTCAGCTACTACTTGAGTTCCAGGCAGAATCCTAGGGTCTCGCCAGACTCCCAAGAAGAGATGAGGCAGTTCACATAGAACGAGCAGAGGCCCATCCCCAAACCCAGAAGCCCAGGGCAGGGCCATTGGCGTTTGCTGCCCTTGGACCCTCTGAGGTCTCTGCCCTACAGGCTCTCTTGAGGGCCCTTCTGAAGCCTGGCTGGTGTCACCCACTCTGGCTCGTCATGACTCGCACTGTTCCAGGAGCCCTCTGGGAACACAACTACAGATGAGAGCTATGATGGGACAGCACAGGCCTGACTGGCAGTGCAACCCTGGTCAGACAGGGCCACACCTTTGGAGAGGCTACACTGCCAGCCCTGTGTAACAGAAGTGTCCTCCCTTGGGTACCATGCAGTGGCAGAGGGTGGGCCCATCTCACCTGTGGGTTGCTGGTGTTCGAGGTATCATCCCCGCTAATGGTGGGCTCTGGGAGGCTGCCGTCCTCCAGCACATTGGAGAGACTGGAGCTGTGGCGGCCAGGGGCAGCAGAAAAGGGCCTCGGCCCATCCAGTGGGGAAGGAGTGCCAGGCTGGCTGGCTGGAGTAAGAGTACCACTGCTGCCGCCACCACCAGCAGTGTTGCCTGATCCTACACTAGACCGTTCCAGGCCCAGGTCAAAGGGCATGCAGAATGGGGAGAGAGCATGGTAAAAGCCATCAGGGTCAGGGCAGGGGGCCTCTGAGGGCAGGAAGACATCTGAAGGCTCAGCAGGTGACTCAGTGGGTGGCTTGGGTGGGGCTGGCTTGGGGGAGGTGGGTGACTCTGGGGAAGAAGGAGGGGGACTGCCAGCTGTGGCAGCTTCCAGGACATATAGCCGGGTCAGCACATCCTGCCAGCCAGCCTGTCGGGCCAGAAGGCGCACTATATCTGGCTGTCCATAGATGAGGTGGAAGAGCTGCAGGCAAGAGCACAGCATGTGAGGACACATCCAACTGCCTGCCCCAGACCCTCATCTGGGGCCTCTGCAGAGGAGGGCTCCAGAGACCCCCTCATGAGACAGGCAAGGTGAAGGCCAGAGGGTAGAAGCCACCCTCCCCCTCCCCCAAAGCTTTTACATCTCATGCTCACCTGGCGACAGATGTCTAGGCGAACGCTGAGGTCAGCCTGGAGGGACAGCTGTACCACAGCCAGCAGATCTGAGAGGTTCAGGCAATCTGGGGGGATGGGTTGGGGGGACCTGAGGGACTGACCCGACTAGGAAGGGTGGGGCCCAGCCCTGGCCCCTATGCCGCTACCTTCCTTCTTCCTGCCTGCCTGCCCTGTTTTTCTGACATGTCACCCCCTCCACTTGGCTGTAACCAGGTTGTACCTGCCCCCAGGAACAGCTTGTAGAGGCCCTGGCAGAGCTGGGGGGAAACAGTCCCCTCAGGCAAGCAGGCAATCAGACCCTGGAGACCACACTCCCGCAGCCGGAGGCGCTGGCGGCTCCGCTCAGGTAGCCGCTCGTTCTGCTGCAGTCTGCGCAGGATCTGTGTGGGGGTCATCGGAGGACTGTCATCATGTGGAAGGAGTTACTGTAGGAGGGGAAGTCACCGTGCAGGTGTGTGGCTCAAGAGGCCCTTGAAGGCAGCTTCATCTGCTGGCCCAAGGCCTGCTGTACCTCCCTGAACCCCAGGCAGGGGCCCCAGTGAATGGGATGCCAGGGGAGGGGATGGGCTGGATGTACCTTGCAGACTCGATCGGGCAGCAGGGGCAGTGACCCTGGCCGCACTAGCAGGGCCAGCAGCACTTCGAGGTTCCCTGGCTCCAACAGAAAGATAGCCAAGGACTCCTGCGCCAGGGAACCATGCAGCAGGGCTAGCAGCAGGTCCAGCGCACCCACCACCTGGGGATGCAGAGTCTCACACTGTGCCAGGCCCCCATGCCCCCCTCACCCAAGCCTCCCCTTCCCCAACCTCCAGCCTACCTGGCCATCGTCGCCTGTGGCTGCCAAAAAGTTCAGCATGATCTGCGTGACCTGCACATCATCTGCTGAGAGGCTCCGCACCAGGAACTCCCTTGCCAGGCCCAGGAGGGAGGTCTGCACGGTGCGTAGGTCGTCAGCAGCCAGGGGGCGCTCCCGCTGCGGGCTGGCAGGTCAGCAGGCACACCCAGCCAGGTCCGGAGAAAGGTGGGGAGACAGGGGGAGAGAGGGGAAGAAAGGGGGAGAGAGGGGAAGGGAGGGTGGGCAGGTGAGTCAGGTAAGCGCATAGCCCAGTCCCCAAGGCCAGAGGCCACTGTGTCAGCGTCAGCCCCCCATGGCCCATCTGGCCCCACTGGCCTCACCTGTAGTGGGTGCGCAGAGCATCCAGGATAAACTGGACGCCGTACTTCTTCCTCAGCTTCTGTCTGTGCTCCCGAACTATGCTGGACATGTACTGGATGTGGCCTGAGCAGGAACGAGCAGGAGGCTCAGGCCACTAGGCTGAGCTGGGCCCTTCAGATCCTCCAGGCCAGGGCCATGTGCCTGTCAGACTTCCAGGGCAGGGTCATAGTCCCCTCAGCCACCCCATGGCATTCTGGATTCCTATCAGGTGAGTCCCTCAGATCCCCCAGAGCAGGGTTCTAACTTCTCAGTGCTCAGCCACCCTATGGCCAGCCCCTTGCTCAGGTCCTCACACCTACCGAGGCGCACGGCAAAGTCACTGAGGGTCCAGAGGTGAAAGTTGAAGAGCAAATGCTGGTAGAGTAGGTACAGGAGGGGCCCGCTGCCCTCAGCCGCCACTTGCTCCATCAGCAGCTGGGCAGACATGAGCACGTTCATGTCCATGGCCCAGCTGGGGACCTGGGGTGAGACAGGAGCTGGAGTGAGGGCTCAGGCTCTGCCCACCTGCTGTCTGAACTTCTCAGCTGCCACCCTTCCCTGCACAGCCATGACGGCCACAGACATGGCCACCCACCTGCTCAGAACCCTTTGGGGGCTCCCTGCCGCCTCTGACATGCAAGCCTCCTGCCTGCTGTGCGGGTCCCCACCCCAACCTGTGCTGGGCCTTTCCCCAAATCTTCCAGATCCAACTCTGCTTGGCCTTTCAGGGCCCACTCAAGTATCAACTCTCCCAGGAGGTTCTCCATGACTGATAGGGCAGCAGGTTCCCCACTCAGTCCCCTCGGTCAGACAGGCTGACCATATCCCTAATCCCCCATGCGTGCCCTACCAGGCCCTACCTTTCGCAGGAGGGCCCCAATGATGGCAGGCCCCTGGCACTGCACCAGGCTCTCTTGGTTCACCATGTGACCCTGAAGGAAGTTCCGCAGCATCAGCAGAAAAGCAGCCACTGCGTTCCTCTCCATCCGTTCCTCTGCCAGCCACCAGGAAGGGGACAGAGGTGCATCAAGGGCCTGCCAGTGGCCAGGAGACCTTGGGCATTCCATCCCCCTACCATGCCAAGATTCCCGCCCCATAACATAGGTACCAGGAACATTTACCTGAAGATTTACCCAATGGGAGAACCAGGCCTTGGGTTTTGTGGCCAGAGGTCAGTTCAGGACCCACGAGGTCATGCGTTTCAGCTGGACTTGCCTCAGCCTCTTTGGGCTGTGCAGCTACTCGCTCCAGCAGGGGCAGCAGGGCACCCATACCCCCAACGCAGTTCACCACATCCTGGGGGAAGGAGGATGGCAGTGAGGGGGGCCTTCCAGTCAGTTTCCTGCCCTGCTCCACCCCAGCAGACCACCCACAAGGGAAGTTTTGCTCTCTCGAGCTGGACTGTCCAAATCCTCCCCAGGCATAGCACTGCTCCCCACCTGACTCCAAACACACATGTGCCCCATGTTCATGCCTCCTGCACACACCACCCACACGTGCTCACAGACCTTCACATCCCAGGTCTCCACTCTGTGGCCCGTCAGGCGCCCATCGAGCCCATGACTGGGGGACAGGTCCAGGCAAATGTTGTTCTTACAAGCCTAGGGACAGGGGAATGGGCAGGCAGCCAGGGTCAGAGGGAGGAGGGGGTGGCAGGCACAGTGTGGGAGCCGGGAAGTAGCACAATCAAGCCAACCACTCCCCTGGGGCCCCCAAATACCTGAGGTGAGTAATGGAGGAGCAGCCTGGTGCTGAGCTCATGCAGCTCCCCCTCAGGCTTGAAGGGTGCCGTCTCATTGGGCCCTGGGAGGTGGGCAGGGGGCTTCAGACCTTGCTAGGCCTCTGGCCAAACCCCATCCAGAGCCTGCCTGACCAGAGGAGAGACCCCCAGAGATGCCTTCTCACCCCTGGACCCCTAGCTTCTGGCCTGGGGCTGGGGCAGAGATGAAGGATGCTGCATACCCAGGGTGCACAGGGTCCACAGAGCCGTCGCCTGCAGGGCTTCGTGAAAGATGGCCACAGTCCCCAGCTCACCCTCCAGGGATGTGGGACTGCCCCACCGAGTGTCCTGGGTGCCTGCGAGGGTAGAGTCGATGCTGCCCTCCTGCAGGGGGGCCACCAGCCCGGACCCCCAGCCAAGCCCCGTGGAGGCTGGGACTGACTGGGAGCGGGTGAGGGCGGGGTGAGTGTAGGCCAGGGTGGCGGGGACTGGTGGCATGGGCAGCCCCGTGGTGGTGGTCGTTGTGCGGTGCCCAGCGGAGCCGATACAGCAGGAAGAGAAAGGCTGTGGGACCGGGGTTGGGGGAGCAGTCAGGTCACAGCAGAACCTGGGGCTCCGCCTACATGCAGTTCCTCACAGTGACCCCCATGGCTGCATGGACCCCAGTGGCTAAAGTCCAAGGCCTATGGGGCAGCACGGGACACAAGGGCTCCAGGCCACACCCTGCCCACTGTGTTCCAAGTCCCCCCATCTATCCAAGGCCTCCCCAAACCTTGCTTGGCACACCTCACTGAGGGAGGGGCAGCGAAGGGGCGCTGTCTTGACCAGATGGCCGTCTTTGTAGACATGGACCAGGTTCTGGCTGAAGGGCCGGCGCCCAGGCACATGGACGATAGCCACGCAGTGCTAGAACAGAAGCCTCATGTTAGGCCATACTTGGGACTCAGCACCCCTCTCTCTACTGGGCCACATGAGAAGGATGGGGTCTCACCCAGGCAGAGTCGGCAAAGGACACTTCGGGCAAACTCATGGTCAAGTACTCCTTCCGTGTGCACACAGCCACCACCAGGGTCCCGGCCGCCGTGAAGAAGGCCTCAAACCCTGAGCCGTTGCTGGTGAAGAAGCTGGGGGCAGGCGAGCCAGTTATGTCTGCTTGTTCCTGCTCACCCTGGCAGGAGGTCCCTGGCCCCTGGCAGTCACCCACCTGTACAGCTGCTTTCGCTGGAGTGGTCGGGTGGGGGCAGGGGTAGGTGCTATATCCATGGGGTGCAGACAGAGCCAGGCATGAAAGGTGAAGCCAGGCCCTGGCCATCGCTGCACAGGGGGTACCATGATGCCCGCCATGCTGGGCGTGAGGTCAAAGTAGCGTAGAGCGCGTGCAGGGCCCCGGTGCCTGGCCATGCCTGATAATGAACGGATGACAGCACCTGCGTGTCGGGCCTTTCCAGCCTCAGCTCCACCTGGTCCCGAGTCCAATCCTGGCGGAGGGCGCAGCAGGTGACGCAGCTCCATGGGCCTTATTGATACACGGCCCAGTGCTTGTAGCAGTGCCAGCAGTTGCTCTTGGCAGCGGGCCTCCAGGGCTAGCCCTGTGCTGAGTGTCTCCAACAGGCAGCCCACCAGGCCTGCCTGCACACAGGTGGCACGGCTGGCAGGGCAGCTGTCACAGAGCCACCTGAGGCGTTGTGCTAGGAAGAGCCGCAGCTCAGCGGTGGGCAATGACGGCAGCCACTGCACCAGCACCAGTATCGGCTGCTCGTTGCGGATTGGTGGAGGTGGCCACAAGCTGTGGTCACCCTCCACAGCCTGTGGGTGGACAGAATAACAGTCCCTGGTCAGTTGTGGCACCCTGTCAACAGTAGGACTTTCTGGCTCCATTTACTTGCCTACAGCAGCAGTCAGCAACATGATCTACCCCATCCTGCCCACAGGTTGTGTGTGAGGCTCAGGAAAGTCAGAGGGACACAGATGACGATCACTACTACTAAGAATCCTTCAGTGCTGTTAATCCCTCAACCTTAGTTTTCAGCCTGGGTTGGCCTAACCCCTAACTGCATGTTCCTAAGATAATCCTGGGGCTTGCTAACATGCAGTTGCTTCCAGGATCCCTACAGGGCCAGAATCCTCATTCCAGTGACACTGATAGACATGACCAGGCTACAGGTCACACTATGTACTGGCCACAGTCAACATGGCCCCCCAGGGTGGAAAGCTCACCATCTGTGGTAACCCTGACTCAGTTCTGGTTGCCTTTGGGACCCTGGTCCCAAGCCCCTTCCCTCACCATGTTGAGCAGCTCTTGCAACAGCCGATGGGTAGGGGGACCATGGCTCTGCAGAACCTCCTGCAGGTGAGGGTAGCCGATGCGCTCCTTAAACACCTCCTGTGTAAGGTAGTATGGGGAAGAAGTGAACATATACATGTGCCCCAGGGCAAACTCAGGCCCCCTGGAAACCCTGGAGGGGCATCACATTTTGCGGTTCCCTTGCGTGGCTCTGCCTCTGGGTGACAGTACTGGTGGGCAGTGGGCTGCAGAGGGATGGGGGGGGACATGAGTCCATCTCAGAAGGCTGTAGATGGAGGTGGGTCTACAAGTGTCCATTCCCCATCCAGCCCTGATAGAGGAGATGCAGCTCCAGGACAGACTGGCGACCACACCTGCCCAGTGTGCTTTAGGGCAGGGCAGTCACCTCCCAGCTCGCTTTGCTCCAGGGAACAGGATTCTTATAGCCACTGGCCAGGCCTGTTCTGGGGATATGGTCAGTTGAACTCCACCCCGCACCCCGACTAAAGCTGCAGTGCAGCAGCCTCACCTTGGCTGAGGGGGAGTCACTCATGATGCAGGTCAGCACTCTGACTACATGGACTGCAATGGCGTCTGTGTCTTGGTCCAGGACCTTGGGGTTGGGAGGGGCCGTCAGGAGAGGCAGGGGCCAGGGTGTCACAGCTGGTAGCCCCCTGCAGTAAAAAAGGTGCAGAGCCAAGCACCCCAAGGCATGTGGCATGTGCTAGATCAGCAACTCTGTTGGAGCACCAGACCTTCTACTCCTTGCCCCAACTGCTGTGACCCTATCATGACCTAGGGCCCTCTCTGAGCAGCTCAGCAAGACCCAGTCTAACAAAGGCTGGGAAGGGCCTCACTGGGACAGATTAATGGTGGACACTCTCACTGCACCGTCCAGTCCCCCTTTCTGTGGTGGAGTTAGGGCCCCACCCGCAACCTGTCTCCCTAAAGCGAGACACACGAGTACAGACAGGCCAGCAAGTGCCCCATCACCCACAGTGATTGACAGGGGTCAGAGATTCAGGGACAATCAATCACAGGGTGTTAGAACCAAAAGAACCTTCGAGACCTTAAGTCCCACCTTGCCCCTTCCCCCTAGATCCAGGTGGGGACACTGAGGCTCAGCCTGGCTGAATCTGACAGCCAGAGGCATGCTGCTGCCTCTCCTGCCCCACCCTGAGGGGGTCAAGGTTTGGGAGGGCTTGGAGAGCTTCTCAGCAGGGACCAGGTCACATTTGGCTCCATGGGGCCTTTGGTCCCAACTTTGCCTGACTCCCCAAGTGACCTCAGGCATCAGTCTTCCCCCTCCAGGCCTCAGTGTCCTCATCTGTAAAAACAGAGGGAAGTCACTTTGCCCTGCCTGCTTTGCAGATGAATAGACGTGCCAGCTCTCAGAAAATGACCATGTGCAGTGAACACATAGGGTTACCTCATGAAGACAGAGCCAGGGTAGGGGCTATGGAGGTTGGGGTCCACAGGTTGAGCCCCCAGAAAGGGTGCCCGCTGTGAAGCTGCCAGCTGACACCCTGCAGCTGCCTACAGCCCACATGCAAGGTGAGTCAGGGAGCGCATCATCAGGGGCTGGCTGGGGGCACCCAGTGACCTGCTGAGGGTGGGTGCAAGAATCTACAGAAAGAAATGGCACCATGAGGGATACCCCCTTCTCTGTGACTACAGCCAAACCCTTGAGTGTCTGGGCTTCTGTCTCCCCTTCTGAGAAATGAGGTAGGTAGTTGTGTTTCGAAGGTTCCATCCCGCTTGGCACCGGCAGACCCCAACACCCAATCAAACACCAGGCAGGGGATAGACCACCTTCTGTCCTGTTCCCTAGGATGGGGACTTGGAAGGCAGGCAAGACAGCATGGAGGACCCACACCCATTGCTAGACCACACCAGGCCTTACACACATCCGCTCATTCCCCCAGCTATAGTGCAGGAAAAGCTTAAAGAGGAAGTCCTGGGGGTGTCTGAGCTGGTCAGCCCCAGGATGGTACCTTTTGGACATTGGGCTCAGTCAGTAACCGGGTAGCCAGGTCACTGTCCCCCTCAGGGGGCGCCCGGGCCTGCAGGTACAGCTGTGGGCAAGGGGGAGGCACAGGGTGGAGGAGGCAAAGAAGAGAGAGGAGGAAGATGGGAGAGGGCGGGGTTAGAGCAGGACCAGGAGCAGCTGCCAGGTGCCCTGCCTGGCACTAGGGAACAGTAGGGTGCTGAGCCCCCTGTGCCCTGCTCAGATGGGCAATCGGGGGGATTAGTGGGTGGGAGCAGACACTGCATCTGAAAGCAGTGGTGTGCTCCTCTAGCCCCTGTACTTGGGGCCAGGGAAAGGGAAACAAGGCGCCAGAGCAGCTCCCTTCCTTCCATAACAAGCCCCGCTTCCGTGGGGCACAGAGCTGTCCTGAGCCTCAAGCCCAGTCCTATAGAGGCCCCAAGGGACGGGCCCTTGTCCATGCCCCAGACCCTCCCACTGAACTGCAGGCCATCCCACCAGCTGCAAACAACTGACTCTGTCCAGCCCATGTTTGCTCAGCAGCAGCCTGGCACCTATGCATGTCTCCCCTAACCTCTGGCTTCCAGATCCTCACCCCCAGGCTGGGGCCTACCCACCTTGCTGTTCTGAATGAGCCGAGTGAGGTGTTCAAAGCAATTGTTGCTGAGGAAGGTGGCTTGCAGCACTGGCCGGTCTTCACATGCCAGCATCATGGGGATGGCATCTGTAGAAGTGTCAAGGGTCAAGCCCTGCTCAGACCCCTCTAGGCAGCCTTAAGCCTTCCTTCGTATGCTGCCCCATCCAGCCCTTCCATCATCACTTAGGCTTTTCCCTCATGATGCCCCTTCCCCAAGAGCCTGGGAGCCCATACCCACCGAGCATGCTGACCCGGAGGGTGACAAGGGCCTCTTCGGGGCCTGAGCTCAGACCAGCTGGCCAGTCGGCATTAAGGACATGGAAGTAGCTCTCAAGCAGGGCACGAAGCTCTGGGCCACGAGGAGGTGTGCGGCTGGCATGCAAGACATGGACTGCACCCACCAGTGCCTCTAGAGCCAGTGGTACTAGGTGGGGGTCTGGGGCTGGCCCATGGCTCCAGCCCCGCACCACACTCAGCAGGCCTTTCACAGAGCCGTCACTTACAGCCATCTGCCCGTTCTCCTGCAGGTGTGGACAGAGATGGGCAGTGGGCAAGGGGCTCACCCAGCAGATAGATGCTGAAAGAGCCGCTCTCTAGTCCACAGGCTCACCTCCCAGCCTACCTTTCCTCCAGCGAGGACGGCGCAGAAGAGGTGGATGAGACGCAACAGCAGTATGGGAGGCAAGTGGTCTGCATTCTGTAGGCTCTCTGGGTAGGGGGTTGTGGGCAGGGTAATGTCACCAAGGTTGCAGGGCTATGGACCCAGGGGGCTGCACAAGAGGTGGGTGCCCTGGGGTGGAGGGGAAAAGGAACTGGGCCAAGTAAAAGACCCAGTCTGAGTGATAAGACTGGGCTTTGCCCTGGGGGGCATCTAAGGAGTTATGGCTGTATAGTAGAGGGTCTGAAAGGGACACAACCCTTCTCTGGGGGACTTAAGGGGGACACAGCCCAGCCCTGAGAGTCTAGCCAGCTTCCTAGCTCCTCAAGCGCCAAAGTGAGGGCCCCAGCATGAGCACATCCTTCCTCTTCCCCGTGATGACCAGGGCTTAGTTTCTCAGATGCAAATCTCTTGCTCCCTCTGCCCCTGTGACGGTTGTTGCTTCCCATGCTGTGCTCTGGGGACTCTGCTGTATCTCCTGTACTGATGCCACCTCCCCCACGCCCATGCCTTTGCTTGGGACTTCTAGGGGCTTTCACAGCCTAATACGTAGGAGGCCCACCTGGCCCTGCGCCAGCAAAGCTGGACAGCATGCCAGGCCAGGGACTAAAACTCAGAGGGCAGAAGGGACCAGCCCTGGGTCACATGCCTGAGGGAGGAAGAAGAGTAGGGCTGGGGCTTGATTCCGGTTGGATGGGTGGGAGGCCTCCCTGGGGATGGGGCTTTTGAGGGGAGACCTGAGAATGCAGTTGGAGGGGAGAGGGCACAGCATGGGCTAAGACCCTGAGGTGGGGTCAGTGGTAGCAGTCTGGGAATGAGAGGAGAGAAGCGAGGCTGGGCAGCAGGACAAGTGGAGAGAAAGGCTGTGGGAGGAGTAGGATTTCATCTTGAGGGTGCCAGGTTGACATCAAGGGATACGATGGGAGGAGGAATAAAATCCAGTTTGTTTTAATAAGAGCACCCAGGCTATGGGAAAATAAAGGCGGGGAGCTCCCTAGGGGTGCCTCCCCTCCTGGAGCTGCTGCCCCAACTCTAGATCCAGGCCCACAGCTCCATGGGGGCATCACTGAGACACTTAATATCTCAATAGGTCACCACCTTCTCACAACCCTGCCCACCTCTGTCCAGGCCATATCCCACCCTGAGCCTATCTAAAGTCCTGGCCAGTCTCCCTCCAATGAGAGAAGAGAGGGGACCCAGGGGAGAAGGGTCACTAGGGAGAACAGGTTCACAGGACCACCTGTGAACAGGCGGCCGCAGCTGTCCTGGGCATCGGATCCTCCAGCAGCCAGGGAGCAGGAGGTGGAGATACCTACTGTGTCTCCAGGATGGGTGGAGAGTGGGTGGAGGCTATGGGGACAAAGGGATTGGACCAGAGAGTTTTAAGATCAGAGTAGGGCACAAGTGGCTAGAAGGATTCAGGAGATGGGAGGGAAAGCGGATGAGAAATCTGGGTAGGCAGGTTGACCCCACCCCTCCACCTGATGGGATGCCCTCACTCCAGCCCAAGATGTCCTTTCTCTTCTCTCTGTCCCTAAACTCCTGCCTAGTCTTTGGTTCTCCCAGACCTGCATGCAGACACCACCAAGTGGTTCCTGTGTATGGCAGGATCAAGGAACTACAGGAAGGGGCCTAGGTTTGGGGGTGGGGCCAAGTGGGGGTAGGGGCGGGGCCTGACCTTGGAAGAAGGCACTGAATTCCTGGGGCAAAGCAGCAGGAGGGAACTTGTATTTGCTCTTCTCCTTGGAGCTGATGACTTCCCTGGGGGCAGTGAGGCCAAGTACATCAGCCCGGCTCTCATCACTCCCCGCTCTCACCCCTCCTTGGGCCCAGCACGGCCATCCTCTCCCCACCCTCCTCTGGGTTCCCTGCCTTTGGGCTGGGTCTCACCCACTGCGCTGGCGCCGCCAGGTCTGGTAAGGGTCAAAGAGGCCCTCGCAGAGAAGCAGAGCATGTAGGGCCACATTCTCCAACTGTGCCCCTTGGTCCTGGGGTGGTGGGCATCCTTTCAGCTGTAGGTGTGGGGAGAGAGGTTTAACGCTGCCATGGCTATCGCCTGCCTCCCTGCATGTACCCTCTGCCCCCCAAGGTAGAGGCCACTTCACCTCCGCCACCAACTTGGTCAACAGCGCCAGCACTCGGGGCACTAGCACCTGGCCCCGGCCTGCCTCTATGTTCTCCAGGTTTCTGGGGGAGTCAATGAGGAGAGAGGTCACAATAATATACCATGCCCCTCCCTGCCCCCGCTCCCTCTGGCCCACAGTTCTAGGCCCCTGCTCGTAGAGTGGATAACAGGGACACCTGCACAGAATGATGAAGAGCTTGAGCAGCAGGAGGGCTTGCTCCAGGTCGGCCTGGTGCAGCTGCTCGGCCAGCACATGCAGCGCATCCAGTGGTAGCAGCGGGACCTCTGCACCTGCCTCCTCTGGCCTGCAAGGAAAGGGGAGACATGGGTGCTGAGGACCCCTCAATCTCCCTGCTCTGTCCCTGCCGTCTGTGTAGATCCAGCCTCACCTTCGTGGCTCCAGAGAGGACAGTGAGATGCTCTTCTTGAAGGCACCTACGAAGGCCTTCAGCCACTGCTGCAGGTAACCCAGGTCCTTCTGTAGGCAGAGCAGGGGATCAGTGGTGGGGGGCAGAAGGGGTGCAATAAACAGGGCAGGGACAAGGGGATGTAGACAGAGGTGAAGAATGAATGGTGGTGGACACAGGGCATGGACAAGGGATTAAAGGCAGAGTGGTGGGTGTGGAGGAGGGGAGTAAGGGATGGGGGAGGGAGGGCAGGACATTGGAAGGTCAGCATCAGAGAGTTAGGTACATACTGACCACTCTTCCAGGCACCCCACTGCTTCTCTCAGCCTCCTAGTTTCTGCTCCCACCTCCCTAACGCCTGCAGTCCTAGGCAGGTCTGACACAGCCAGGGGAGGGGCGTAAGTGGGGTGTGGCTGTGGCCCACACTGGTGCTAGGGCTGGAGAAGGTGTCCCACACAGCAGCCACCCCCTACCAAGAGCCTTGGGCTGGATCCTCATCTGCCATCGTCACCCAGCCCAGCAGAAGGGGTTACCTTCAGTAACCTTCTTTAACTGTGTATCCCGGGACACATGTGTACCATTAGACAGGCAGACCCAGACATGTGCACATCCTCATGTGCAGCACTACCTTGCCCCGGGAACCTCCACCCACCCTCGCTGGTTACCTGGACCCCAGGCCCCAGAGCTGGTTCCATGGGCAAGAGGGGCAGTGGCTAAGCCCAGGTCTAGGCGCTGCCAGGAAAACTTTGGTGTGAACGGGAAATGTCTCCTCCCGCCCCGGGGCTGGGGCAGGAAACGCAAAGTCACGGTGGGGGAGGGGGACCGCTTCCTCCCGGCAGACCGCAGGGATGTGGGGGGGCCGGGGCACCCTGGGCCCCAGTGAGAGAGGCTGCAAGCGACCTGGCCTGCGCTGAGGGTGGGACCTGTTACAGAGGGGTGGAGTCACCTATCCTGGGTGGGGCTTGTGGGCCAGAGACTAGTTTTACAAGCATGAGGTTGGCGCCTGGAAGAGCTCTTATCCAGGTGAGGGTTCTGATCCTGCTGCTTCAGTACCCTTCACTCAAGGCACCCACAGCTCCCTGACCTGTGCTCAAGGCCTTAGGCCATAGAGGTCGATGTAGAAGACTCAGCCATACCTTTGTCCCCCCAGCACCGCCATGTCCTGGCCACCTCATCTGGACCCTGCAGTTCTCTTTGCTCAGGAACACAGCTGATAAATCCTAGCCTAGCCCGTATCTCCTCTAACCTCTAAGCCCCTCCCAGGGGATAGGGGTGGGTGGTGGCTTATACAGGAATTCCTCCAGGCCGGCGCCATCTGGAGCTCCCAACCAGCTGAGTCCTAGAGTTAGAGGTGGACAGGGGGAGCTAGAGTGGAAAAGGATGAAGAGGCAAGGGACACATCATGGTCAGTACTCAGCAGGCCTGAGGCTGCTCCCCAGGGGCCATGGACCTCATACCCAAGGACCTCCAGAACTATCTTTGGATGGATGGCTAATTTTTGCAGTCTATGGACCCAGACCACAGGGCAAGGCCTGAATGGTCCCAGGGCAAGAGGCCTGACCACAGCAGACCTGAGCCAGATCCCCAAAAAACCTAGGCAGAGCAGCCATCCACCCTGTGACTGGGGAACTCCCTGGTATATTTTAGTGCAGATCTGAAGACAACTCAGAGAGGTGCCAGGGCCACCATGGAGCAGACCCACACAACCATGACATTTTGCCTGTCAGTGACATTTATTGACCTCTCCACCCTCTCCTGCTGGCAGCCTCCTCCCGAACAATCAGCAAGGAGCCCAAAATACCCAGATCCCGAGACAGCAGAGGCGGCCAGGGGTCCTGGACCACTTCTTCTGAACCTCTCCCATTACAGATGGGGAAACAGGAGGCCCCATAGGGGATGCCTTATCTACTACTTTGCCTTCAGTGTACCTTTGAGGATGCTGAAAGCCAGACCTTAGTTCTAGGCCAGGACCACTCATGATTGCTAGCAAGCCAGCCCATGCAGACCATGTGACCCGATCCTTGCCTCAGTGGCCCCACAGAGACCGCTGGCTGCCTTCAAAAATGTCCCAATGCTGTCTTCCCCTCTTCTGCCCCTCAGTCAAGCCAGTCACTCAAAATGGTAGTCTTCCTGCCAGCTGCAGCTCTACTGAGCACCAGAAAGCCCACATTTGACTATGTCTAACCCCTCCCCATAAAGGCTCGACTGCTGAGCCTGGCATTCCAGGCTGCTGGTCCAACCAGGACCTGCTTCTCCGGCTTCCACCTCTCCCCATCTGTGGTTCACATCCTCTTGTCCAGGCCTCTGCCCACTCTATGCCCTACTGCCTTGTGTAACTTGGGCTTGTAGTACTTGAGCAGGAACCTCCCACCCTCCTGGTGGCCATCACCTTGATCAGCCTTCCCAGGATAGGGGTGGGTCCCTCAATCTCTACATACTCCTGCTTTCTGTCCCTAGAACCACAGCCTTGGCCTGTCCAGTCCTGTAAACTTTCAGCAGATTGGGCTGAGCTGGGTTCAGGGCTGGGGCAATCAAGACAGCCTTCAGGGGCTCTGAAAGGGGATGAGGAGGTCTCCAAGGCACAGTATTAGGCAGGGGTGGGGTGGCTGCCTGTCCTGCCTCCCTGGGTCTTACCTTTTCTCCCTGGAAGGCCTCAGGCCAACTCTGGCCTAGGCCCCATGGCTTGAGACTGCGATGTGTCGGGGTATGGGAGTCCCTCAGGGAGCCAGGGTCAGAAGGCAGAGAATGGCAGGGGATGAGAGCATAGTAGCAGTGCTGCATGTGAAGGCCCAGGGCCTGGGAGGGGTGGCCGTGATGCTCAGGCTTCCCATGCCCCTCTCAGAGCCTCTGCCTTGGTCAGTTGTGCCAGCTCTGAGCAGGAACATGGGTCAGGGACAGTCCAGCCCCTCGCTCCCACCTAACTGGGTCAGAGCCCCAACCCTGTCCCCTACTGAGGGCAGGCTGGGAGCAGCTACACCTGCCAAGCCCTCTCCAGGGCCCATAGGTAAGTGATGCCCAGGTCCTGCAGCAGGGGAGAAGGTTGTGGGAATGGGGAAGGCCGGTGTCCCTGGGAAGAGGGGTTCTCATGGTCGCCTCCACAGAGACCCCAACTTATGCCCAACTAGCTGTGAGGGCACTTGAGAGTGCTGGGGGTGAGGGGCTCCTGAGGGCTGCTTAGGCTCAAACAGTCCCTGGCTGCGCATGGAACTGAGACTTCTCTGGAATTCTGAAGTAACCCGGAGGGCTGAGGGCTGGTGGTTGTGACACTGGTGGGGAGTACAGGGAGTACACCTTGTTTGCCAAGGTGACAGGGATCACTGAGCTGCCTGACACCATGCTGCTCCCAGACCCTGCCTGACGTACCCCAAGTCCAGCGCACAGTGGGCCTCGAGTAGACATCCGTCACCATCACAGCCTGATCGGCCAGTCACATGCCCTATCACAAGCTCACATCTGAGGCCCTGTGTGGGTGGTGCCCACCTCACCTCCAGCCTTCACACCCCAAACCTGCAGGATGCCCGGGCCCAAGGGCGTGACTCGCTGTCTGTACCCCCACAGGTCTGCCTGTGCTTTGCTCTTGTTTGCTTTGCTGGAATGCCCCCATCAGGGGCATTAGCACCCTTTGTAAGACCTATTCCTGTCTGGTGCCTCTCACGAACCAAATCAGTGGTGAGCACATGGGTTCCGGAGTCCAGTCCCCATTCTAACTCTCGGTGGCTTGTTACCTAACATTCACCTCTTTAAAACCATCCCTTTGCTTCATGGGTAAAAGTTCTCCAGCCATACCTACCCAACTCGAGGTCAGGGTAAGGTGAGTGGAGCTCCAGATCCAGGGGCTCTGGACTGCCCGAGCTCCCTGAATTCCAGGCAACAACCCTCAGCCCCCACTGTGAGTGACAGTAAGAGGCATTAATAGACCCCAGGGAAGAGCTAGGAGCAGGAAGGGAGAGAAGAACACAGCTCAAGAGTGGGTGACTCCTCTGTCAGAGCTGCCTGGGTGGTAGTGAGCACTCCATCTTCAGGGACAGACAAGCAGAAGTGGGACAGGGTGGGGTCTGTGTGGAATAGCCTATCTCAGGCCTAGAGGGTCCCCCAATTCAGTATCCGGATGGGGAGGGCAATGTCAAGCTAAATGTGACTTCTGGCTACATCACCAGGACTGGAGGTCAGGCTTGGAGGATGTTAGGCCATGGGATGAAGCAGGAAGATGGGACTTTGCTGGGGCAGGGACAACTGAGGATAGTGGTTTGACTGCCTGGGTGGCTGGGCCAGTCTCTCCCCCTTACCTGGAGAGGGGGTGCTGAAAGGGTGGACCTTCTGATCTCCATGACACCCACCCTGCCCCAGGGCCTGACCATCCCCTTGTACTATATATATATATGTATATATATATATATATATATTTTTTTTTTTAAAGCAAGGAAAGCATAGATTTATTGAAATGAAATCACACTCCACAGAATGGAAACAGGCTCAAGCAAGCGGCTCAAGAGCCGACCACCCCCTTTTACTATCATTATGGAAAATGGCAATCTCCTTCCAGGGTCCCCATAGACCCATAGTAACTGACCCTGTTTCTCCGGGGACCCCACACTTCCCCATCAGCTCCTCAGTTGTCATAACAACCCCAGGAATGACCAGTGGCCACCCAAGCCTGGGCTGTGTGCTCATCTCTCTGTCACTACAGACCCTCCTCCTTCAGGCGCCTTGGTAATAGAGGCAGGGGACTAAGCATCAAGGAAGTGATTCCACCTTCCATTTACCCATTTCAGGAAGGTAAACTGAGGCCCAAAAAGGAACATGACCAGATAAAGTACCAGGGGGAGTGGAGGGCCTGACCAGGCTTCTAAGAGGCAGTCGAGATCAGTTAGGGAGAGGGAACTGGGGGAAGTGTGGGCAGGACAAGGTTGCCTCCAGCCTGACCTAACCTTCCTGGACCCCTCTGAGGCCCCAGTGGCATAGCTGGACAGGTCAGCTTCTGCTCCCTCCTGTCACCTGAGGGTTTGTTCTGCCCTGACCTTTGTGACCCTGAGTGCCCTTCCACATTCAGTGCCCCCTCACTCTGTGACCCCATTCACTGGGGGGGTTGCTGAACATCACTGCTGCTCCTGCCTGAACAGGGACCACTCATCTGCATGCTATGTGGCATTAACTTTTATGGGCTGCCCAACCGCCAGCCTGTCAGGTGCTGTCCCCAGTCCCCCAAGACTCCCCTGTCCTTCCTATGCCTTCCCTGGGGGAGCTCTGGTGGGCTTGGAGTCCTCTGGATGAGCCCCCACTGTCCACCAGGCCTGCTTGACTAGCTCTGCCCTACCCCAACTCCTGACAATTTGCTTCTTGTCTCACTGCTCCTGCTGTTCCTTCCTCTCGGCCCTCAAAGCCCAAACTCAGCCTCCTCTGGGGTAACTTCCTGACTGGTCACTGCTATGGGACCCACCCTTCAGCTAATACCCAAGGAGCACCTACTACATGTGAGGTCTGACAATCGTGGTAGGACCCTGCGTTGGTTTCCCCACCAGGGCCCTAAGGAGCTCCAACTGAGTGAGGTCCTGGGGTGCTCTGACTCTTCCCTCTTCCCTCAGCGGCCACCCACAGCCCCCTCCCTCACTATGAGGCCCCCAGTTGAGCCGGGCCCACAAGGAGAGGGGGTGGGTGGGTCTAAACCTGGGGTCTTTAAGGAAGAGGAAGGGCAGGAAGGAGTTACTCCCCCCTCTCCATCCCCACCCAGACCCACAACTGGGGAAACAGGTTTGCCAGCTGATGTCAGCTCTCACAGCTGAAGGGAGGGGTGCAGGTGTTGCTGGCTGGGTGGCTGGCCAACTAAAGGGTCTCTAAACACCCACTTTCAGCTCCGCCCCTTACCTTGCACTCCCCCTCCCCAAGCACACACACAATAGGTCCCTAACAGGACTCAAAGTTGCATAGCACTACTCCTCCCTGGATTGGGGGTTCCAGGAGCAGGAGCAGGCGGGCAGGAAGGCAAGCTGGGAGGTTGGCCCTAGCTTCCTCTTCCCAGGCAGCCTGGCCCCGCCTGGCTCCTGAGTTTGCTGTCACATCCTGGATTTGTTTGCCTGGCCCCAGACTGCCCTCTGCCTGCTCAGGCTTCCAAAGCTACAACCTGCCAGCCTATGTTCCATATCTGCCCTGTGAGGTGAGGAGCTCCTGGAGCGGGAGGCTCAGCACAGATATGAGCCATAACCACCTCCTGAGGGGATGGGGGCTGGCCATGTACAGAGCTCAGCTAGATGGGGCATCAGGAGGCAACCATGCTGGAGTTACTGTCCTGGGAGATACCAAGACACTCCCAGCAGCCTGCCACCCGACCTGAAGACCTGTCATTAACATCTCTCACACTCATCACCTGGTTTAAGTCCCCTTTACCTGCCCATGCACCTAGAACCTGCCCATAGCTATGGGGCAGTCAGAGGGAGGACTGGGGTAGGCTTCTCTTCAAATCCTCTGCTCCTTCACAACCACTGGGGATGGAGGCAGAGAAGCTGGGGCGAGGGGACCCAATGGGGCCAGGGAAACAGGAGCCTTCTCTGGTCTGGACCACCTATAATGGCTACCTCTCCGCAGAGTCTAGGAAGCCCCTGAGGTCAGGGCTGTGTAATTTTTTTTTTTTTTTTTGAGACAGAGTCTGTCACCAGGCTGGAGTGCAGTGGTGCAATCTTTTTTTTTTTTTTTTTTTGAGACAGAGTCTGTCACCAGGCTGGAGTGCAGTGGTGCAATCTTGGCTCACTGCAACCTCCGTTTCCTGGGTTCAAGCAATTCTATAGGCATGCGCCACCATGTCCAGCTAATTTTTGTATTTTAGTAGAGATGGGGGTTTCACCATGTTGGCCAGCATCGTCTCGATCTCCTGACTTTGTGATCTGCCCACCTCGGCCTCCCAAAGTGCTGGGATTACAGGTGTGAGCCAGCACGCCCGGCCAGGGCTGCCCGGCCAGGGCTGTGTCAATCTTACAGGCGGGAAGCAGGGGCTCAGAAGTCGAGTTTGATCTGAGTTATACCTAAGAGGGACTCTACTCCATGCCTGGCCTCCTGCCGGGGGCATGGACCTCTCACAACCTGAGCGGACTGAAGAGGCTGTGGTCCTTCTGGCCTGGACTCCAGGTTGGTGGAACACAGTGGGCCAGCCTCCTCATCGAGGGCCAGCGCGTCTGAGCATGAATTCCCCCCACTGACAAACTGTTCAGGGCACACAATGGTCTATTGTGCCCAGGGCACACCTGAGCCAGGAGCATGATGCCAGGCAGGTGCAAGGAGGGAGGTGCTGGGTGAAGGGGAAGGGAGCATTACCCTGGGATCCCTCCCTGCTGTGGGTGCAGAAGGAAAATGGGGGACTATGTGTGTGAGACGGTGTGAGTGACACCAGGTTCTCAGCTGATGGGACACCCAGGTCAGAGTCACTCCCCTCACCTTCTGAGACCACCTGAAGTATTCTCTGAGTCGGGTGGGGAGCTCAGGAGGAAAGGGCCTCCCTCCAACCTTTTCAGACATCCTTCAGGGAATCAACGCCCCACCCTCACCCTGGGCATCCAGAGCAAAACCTTTTCTTCTGCTCCTAGAGAGGTCCTGGGTCCACCCCTCCGAATGGGGGCAGGGTGGGTCGTTTCAAGTCAGGGAGGAGCTTATCGCAGCCTGTCTGCTGGGGGTGTGGGGGGATGCAACTCAAGAAGGACCTGAAGTGGGAGCATTCCCCTTCCACACACCTCCCTACGTCGGCCCACACACCCCCCCTACGTTGGCCCACACCCCCAGACCCGTTGGCCACGACCACCCAATCGGGCTGCGCCCAAGGGAGAGGCAGCCCATATACAAATTGAGTCCCCCTCCCCCTAGCCTCCTGGCCAGTCTCCAGGTCTCTCCAGGCCTCAGTTTCTCCATTTGTAAAAAGGCGAAGAAGCGTCCGGCCGCCTCGGCCCAGGCCACTCTCCTCTAGCAAGAAAGACTCAGGCTGCACGGTCCTGCTGGGGGGGTGGGTTGCTGTGAAGTGCACGACCGCGAGGCATAAGTGCCAGAGGCACCCGACCGGCTGGGGGCACACACGTGTGTGCGGAGCCGTTGCATGCCCTTCGCGCGCGCGCGGCTACGCGGCCCCAGCGGCGCTGGGCGCAGGTGCAGCGGGCGCGGGGCGCGGGAAGCTGGGGGCACCGCGGGTGCGGATGCGGATGCGGGGCGGGCTCACCTGCGCGTAGTAGAGCAGCCACAACTCGTAGAGCCGCTCCGAGGCGGCCATGGCCCGGCCCGGCTCCAGCCCTGTTGCGCGCCACCTGTCGCCGCCTCCTCCGCGCCGCCCGCCGGTTGCCCTCGGCCAGGCCCATGGGCGGAGGGCGTCACTCCGGGGCGGAGCGGCGCGGTACTACTGGGGAAGTCTGCGGCTGTGGCCTCCGCGGCGCTGAGCCACCCAAGTCTGCTCGCTCCTCCTCCTTCTTACTGCCGGCCGCCGCCCGGCTTCCTGCACTTCGCTGCAGTCACCGCCGCCCCGCCTCTCCCGGGACCGTGTAAAGGGCTGAGAGCCTGGCAGGAGGAGGGGCCTATGGGCCTGGCGGCCCGGGCGGGTGCCCCGCCGCCCCGCCCCGCCCCGCCCCACCAGTGCCATTGGAAGGGCCAGCCTGAGCCTCCCGGACGAGGGTCGGGGTGAGGAATTTCAGACTTCTCCAGGGTCTGAATCCGCCCAGGACGCTGCTGGCCTGACTGCAGTTGCCGCCATTCAGGGAAGGGGCGGCGGGCCGCGTGGGGGTGGCGAGGGTCCTTCAACAATAATGACCACCACTGGCCGGGCGCGGTGGCTCACGCCTGTAATCCCAGCACTTTGGGCGGCCAAGGCGGGCGGATCACGAGGTCAGGAGATTGAGACCATCCTGGCTAACGCGGTGAAACCCCGTCTCTACTAAAAATACAAAATATTAGCCGGGCGTAGTGGCGGGCACCTGTAGTCCAAGCTACTTGGCCAAGACAGGCAGATCACGAGGTCAGGAGATCGAGACCATCCTGGCTAACACAGTGAAACCCCGTCTCTACTAAAAATACAAAATATTAGCCGGGAGTGGTGGTGCGCGACTGTAGTCCCAGCTACTCGGGAGGCTGAGGCAGGAGAATAGCTTGGACCCAGGAGGTGGAGTTTGCAGTGAGCGGAGGTTGCGCCACTGCACTCCAACCTGGGCTACAGAGCAAGACTCCATTTCAAAAAAAATTTTTTTTACTCCATATCTATATATCAGGTAGGGTCTCAGAAGAATTAATCTAATAGCAAGAGCCTTGATTCCCAATTCAATTTTTATATGGAACTGCTGATGACTTGAAAGAAAGTGAGATCCAAAATAAGGAATGGTCCTTCTAATGGTAAAGAGTTATGCAGCATGAAATTTCAGAAAGGGAAATGCATATAATTTACTATTATAAATATTTGGAAAATCAGCATCTAACTTACTTGCTTTAGAAAGAAAGAAGACCTTGGGAAGTTGTGCTCTTATGAAGCTTTCTGCATTGCTTATCAAAATGATTTCATAGTTAGCCTTGCCATGCTAAACATGGCCTTCACTGAGAAATATCAGCCCAGGAACAAACTCATTTCCGATAAAGCTGATGCAGCTGTTTGATGCACAGAATAACTCACAAGGATTCC